TTTACTATCTAATAAACACTGTTTGCTTGGCTTGGAGAATGGTTGTCATTTGCAGAACAATGGCACCACTTTCTGGTAATCTGTTCTCCCAGGTCAGTTCTCCTGGGAAGGTGTTGAGCTTGTATCCATCTAACGAATATGAGGTGCTCCCCAATGGGAGTGAAGCGCACTGGGAAGTGGTGGAGCGGATCCTCTTCATCTATGCCAAACTCAACCCTGGGATTGCATATGTTCAGGGCATGAATGAGATTGTTGGGCCAATTTACTACACCTTTGCCACAGACCCCAATAGTCAGTGGAAAGGTCAGTAACTGAAAACGTGAACATTTAAGATGTTTCACACATAGAAAATATAACTCTCTTGTGATTCCTGACTGCTTCATTGTTCAGAGCACGCTGAAGCAGATACATTCTTCTGTTTCACCAACCTGATGTCGGAGAACAGAGACAACTTCATCAAGAGCCTGGATGACTCTCAGTGTGGCATTACTTGCAAAATGGAAAGTGTGTACTCCATGCTCAAAGACAAAGACCTGGAGCTCTATCTCAGAATGGTAAGGTCAAGGCTTCATGGCTACTTCCTGCTCATTCTCTAGTAAAACATCTAATAATATAGAACATGTCTTCACAAGAGAAGTTTTAATAGCTGATGAATACTTTAATAAGCACTTAATGTCCTTATCTCTAATCAACCATTTATTAAATGTGTGATTACCGCTTATAAATACTCTGTATGGGGTAAAATGTTAACACAAATGACCTCTGTGGCAATTAGATGAAGAAGCCCCCCTGTCTTTTGAACAAAACACATTGCATTAACATTGCTATTTCCTTTTAATGTCCCACATTTTTTTCTGTTCACACAGGAAGAGCAGAACATCAAACCCCAGTATTTCACATTCCGGTGGCTGACCTTATTGTTATCTCAGGAATTCCTTCTGCCAGATGTCATCCGCATCTGGGACACCTTGTTTTCTGACGAGGACCAATTTCACTTCCTCATCCTGGTCTGCTGCGCCATGCTCATGTGAGCTTTTCAGATTGTGCCCATAGAGCACCGATGCCTCTGGCTTTTCATGTGAATCGTGGTTTTTATTGATTTCTTCTGTTTCCAGACTCATCAGAGATAACTTACTGGTAGGAGACTTCATAGTGAATATGAGATTACTGCAGGTATAGCTTTTGTAAACACATGAACAAAAAGCTTCAGTCACACAGCTGAGATAAACTGGTTTACACAGTGTTTTTTTTTTTTCCTTCCCTCATGATCCTGTAAGGATTACCCCATCTCAGATGTCCACACCATCTTGACCAAGGCCAAAGAGCTGCAGGGTAACTCCTAACCTGTTCACTCAAGTCCCCCTGCCATCTCTGCTCAGATGTGATAGGTGGGAGCTCAGACATTAGAAACATTGTCATGTCAAACATGTTGTGTGAGAGGACCTGATCACTGAAGAGCCTGGATAGGTGTGTTGGGAAACTAGCATACTGCTTTTTAACTCGGTGTCTGAGGTTTAGTCAGTGGAGACTGTGTGAAAACCCGGAGGACATGTTGAAACTGTTCCTTCCTCAGAGTGAGGAGGAGGTGCCACCTGTGTCTTGATGCATTATAGGAAAAGGCAACCTCGGTTATGTGGTCCTTCTCTTCCTCTCACAGCAATCTCGCCAATGGAAATTTGCTGTGAACAGATGATGATATTTGCACTGACCACGTGAGGGAGAGGCAGCCGCATTAAACCTACACTACCAATGTTAGTCATGCAAACATTCTAGAAATATTGGAAATTGAAGCCAAGAATTATAACAAAAATGGATTGAGCAGATGTTTAATTGGGTTGAGTAGTAGTGCAGGTTTGTTCTTTAAGGGATTTTTTTTCAAGTTGAGTGCTTTTAATTCTGAATTGTGTATGCCTTATTTGTTTAATGATGTGAAACCAGAATCAGTATTTCTGGTTATATTTTCTGTCTGATAACATTTTTGAAGTGATGGGATGGGACGGGCCTATTGAATATTGTATTAACAACCTCCTGAAAATAATTTCCTGAGCATTATGTGTCCACAACACCTTTTGTCCCATTGGAAATATAGGTTTCCTGATAAAGTCATGTTTCTCTGACAAAATGCTAAAAGACCAGAACCAAGAGAGGACCTTATGGTGCTTTTCACACTGAGTATTATTTGCGGAGCTTTTTCTTCAGCCTGGGTTTATATGTATCTGTATACAATACTTTATGTATACCATGGTCATGGTGAATCATTCTGCCTCACAGTTCATACTCTTTATTGCAAGGCTGCTGGTTTCTTTTGTTACAGGCCTGCAGTAATTAGGTTTGGTGTTGTTTGAAATTGACTGATATTAGTGTGATACGATATCATTTGTGGTTGTTCAGCAGTTGCATGTTTGTTTGTTTTTTTTTTTTGCAGTAACACAAGAAGCTAAAGCAGGGTAAAAGAACTGGCACTGCCATCTTTCCATATCCTGTGCAAACTTGATGTTAAGTGAAAAAAAATCCTTTCTTGCTTTCTTGCTTCTGCAGCAGAAGGCTAAGCGCGGAGTGACAAGCAGGTTGACGTAGTCTGACTCAGTACCAGAGTAAAGCTGTTGTAAACCTGTTTTACATTGAGAACAGGCCTGCAATTAAAATGTTTAAGGAAATTAAATCATTGTTAACATTGGGTTACTAGCTAAACTAGCCCAGAGTTAATGGCAGTGATTACCTTTGTTTAAGGCTGATAATGTACAGTGTGAAACACCAGCACAGCTTGACAGTGTTGACTCCCATTCTTTTATTATTTTATCACGTATAATGCACATAACATATGATATATATGGCAGACTTGATTATGTTTAGTTTCTAATTTGAATGTAAATTTGCTAACTTAAATGTACCACTGCTATAATATTTGGAAACTAGTTTGTAACATGTTAACAAGGTTAAAGGATAAGGCCAGTCATTTTCTATATTAACAGTATTTTCAACACTCTCCATGCAGAGACCAAAAACCAACAAAGATTTACCTCAACTCACTATTAACGTCTGTCAGTCCTGGATTATTTTATTCATCTGTACTAGAGGCCTCCATTGTTGGTCAAAAATAATTAAAAATGCATCAGGGAAACACACTGCTGCACTGG